GCTGAAAGCTAAGAGTCTTGACGGGCTGAGATCAGATTCCAGCCAGAAGAAAATGGTCATTTTTTGTGACAACAAAGGACAAATACGGCCGGAGACGTAAAGGGAGTTTGCTTAGTTAAATGTCTTCACACATTCAAGTGAACTAGCCTGGCCTGCTTCCTAGGTTAGTTATAAAGGGACAAACTCATCTTTAGGCTCTTTAATGTATCGGTAAGCAAGTCCTGAATGGCTGTGGAAGGTCGGTGGTTCGGCAGTTCGAGACCCGAGTGTGCCGCGTGACGGCGTGAGCTCCCGTCTCTAGTTCCAACTCCTGCCAACCTAGCAGTTCGAAAGCAAGAAATTGCAAGTAGATAAATAGGTACCGCTTCGGTGGGAAGGGAACAGCGTTCCGTGCGCCTTGGCGTTTAGTCATGCCGGCCACATGTCTTCGGACAGCGCTGGCTCTTCGGCTTTGAAACGGAGGTGAGCACCGCAACCCTAGAGTCGGACTCGACTGGCTTTCGAGCAAGGGGAACCTGAGTCAATCGCAGTTCGCATTGTTCCAAACAGATGTGGGCAAAGGAAATGAGTGACTTGAATCCTGGAACTGGCGAATATGACAGTGTGATCGCATGCCACTGTCACAGGACAGCCCCCCCCCCCAAGTGAGATTTATTTAGTTATTTATTTTGAGATTTATTTCCCGCCCTTCCAAGCGGCTAACAAGCGGCTAATGCCGGATTAAATAGATAAAATACAACAAAACAATATTACATATCCACAATAAAATTCATAACAGTATTTAAGGTGCTCTGTTATCCTGTATATCAATCCCCAAGATGGACAGTCATCCCAGTTCGACGGCCAGCTTTATGAAATAGCAAGGGCTCCAGCGGCGATGTTCTCCCCACTTCCGCCAGGCGACACGGGGGTGTGTGTGAAGTATAACAGGTCCGGGACTCGGCCGTACACTTCAGGGCCAGGTTCTTCTATCTAACCTACTCGTGCCCCTAAGTTTTTTAGCCTCCGGCTCACACGTCTTTGTCTTGGCCCAGGAAGGAGGGCTCCAGAGCAAACTAGTTAATGCCGTAGCCAAATCACTTGCTCACAACTTGAATGCCAGTAGCTCACAAAGCAGAATTCTTGCTCACAAGGCTACACAGCTTAGAGGGAGCATTGCTCCTACCCCCCATTCCCTGCCGGTCGCAAGGGGGGAGATGGCAACTGAAAATGGGGCAGTCATGCTCTTCAATGGGTAGCTAAGATCTCCTTTCTTCATCTCTTTCTCTCACTGTGGCCCACAGTTCCCTGTAGTATTTCTCCCCGCTGCTCTGACGCTGCTCCTGGTTTCTGCCGGGTGGCCTCCCCGTGTCCCTCTCCGGATCCCCCGGGTTCCCCGGCTCCTGCCTCCCCCCCCTTTTGGGCAGGTCTCCACCACCGCTCTCCCCCTCCGTGGATCCCCCGGGCCTCCTCTGCACACCATTTCATTCTCTTGCCCTCTCTCTCGCCCAGCCTTCCTTCTCTCACGTTCTTCAGGGACTGCACACAACCCCCCAACTCTCTCATGGACTGGCCACGAGGGAGACATAATGGGGCATCTTCCTCATCAAAGCTCCTGTTGTTGTTCAGTCGCACAGTCGAGTCTTCGCGACCTCACGGGCCACGGCGCGCCAGGCCCTCCTGTCTTCCGTCGTGCTCCGGAGTTGGCTTAATTTCATGTTCGTTGCATTGATGACACTGTCCAACCATCTTCAAGATCTTAGCAAATGTTGAATTCGGAATTACCCAAGCAGATATTTTACAGTTTTTTGAGTGCCACCCGCCTTTAAAACTGGTGGACCTCCTGATGGCACCTGGTATTTTTGGCCACTGTGTGACACAGAGTTTTGGACTGGATGGGCCTTTGGCCTGATCCAACATTGGCTTCTCTTGTGTACTTATGGTCCTTTCTGTCTTGCCTCCAGTCTATACCTTTATGCTTAAACCAAGTCAACCCTTTAAAAAGAAGGGTCTCACGACTTTGTGGGAATATGCTGCCCTCATCTGCAGTCTGTGCATACAGAGGCTGAGGTCCCCAGAGGCCCAGAGTTGGGTGTACATGTGTGCATGGCCCCATAGCCATGCTCCTACAGAGTCCCAGGATGACGAAAGAGGGACGAGTCTTGACACCATATACTGTCCTCCCCCCCTCCACCCCTATGACTTCCCTTTGTGTGTTTCTGGAGGGACAATCGATCTGGCTTGGAATTGTTGGATTTAGGGGCACACAGAAGAAGAGGTCTAATTTTGTGTGTTTGGGTGTTTTTTCTAATAAATAGGACCTCATTGTGCGAAACCTGACCTCATATCCCGGCTGGAAGAAGAGGAAGGGCCGTTTCTCCCAGGCTGCGATCATGAAGAGGGACTGGCAGGTAACCGTTTAAGATCTCTGTCTTGGGACTGTGCGTCGCCTGCGCTTCCTTGGAATGGCTGGTGAATTTCCAAGGCCTTGTTTATCCTCACAGTTTGCCCTGAAAAGAGCTCGGATGGATTGTGGGTGCCGAAATGGTGCCTGGAGGTCTTCAACCCGGGACAGGAGGCAGTTCCCTTCTTCCTAGTCTTATGGCCCTGATGCCGAGTCTAGCCCAGTCTCATCACTTTCACTAGAGATGCCGGGCCTTGACACAGCTGGCAAAGCACGTGCTGGCAAAGCACGTGCTCTATGGCAGAGAGGTGACTCAAGGCAAACCCAGGCGGCTATCATGTGACCACATCATGCATCCCAACCTCCTCCTGGCCCCAAGCGGTGTTGCGAAGGGTCTGGTGCGATTGCGAAGGGTCTGGTGCATAAACAGTATGCCAATATAAAACATCCAGCCTCTTCCCAAGGAAGTCTTGCGTTTCCCAGGGTGTAACCCCTAGTCAGGATGGCTATTCACCATCCACCGTTTTCTAATTGTTGTTTATAACTTATTTATTCCTGAATGTTGTACTCCACCCTGAGCCCTTCCGGGAAAGGCGGTATATAAATGCCAGCCATACCATCTCAGGTTCATTCCCTTGTTATCTTCCAAGGTTTTATATGCCGGCAAAGAGCAGTAATGGCCTTCCGCTCTGTTCCTCAGACAAACAGGTCAGTCCCTACACCTGGAGTTGGCCAATCAAATGTGGAGTGTATGTGGATGTTGCCATCTGTATTATAGCTACGTGCAGTGTATTTATATTTTATATTGTAATTTTAATGGAACGTTGGTTTTAGTTTTAATGTATTTATTGATATCCATGTTGTTAGCCGCCCTGAGCCCGCCGAAAAAGAGGACGGCGGGATACAAATATAATAACTAAATAAATAAAAGAATATATGAACCTAAGTGTGGCAGTTGATAAACGGAAGCTTGAAGGAGAAATTAAAATGCGTGATTGCGAAGCTTAAGTTCATTCACAGATTCAGAACAATGGAAACCCCCACCCCACCCCGGCTGAACAGGGACATAGGACTCTTATCGCGCAGATGCTAATTTTTCTGCCCCTAAGCATTTCTGTTCTGCCCCATACCATTTCTCCTTTGTTCTAATCCAGCCAATTGCAAAGTGCATGGGTACTTCTGTATCCCGAGTTCCTTTTTTAAAAAACACCCCTCCCACCCTCAGGCGGGGATGTAAAGACTGAGGGAATCTCCATTCTGAATCAAATATGACAAAACGATGCCTTGAGTCGGAAAGCTTTTACCTGAAAAACCTTGTTAGTCTTTAGGTGCTCCTGGGCTCAGCATTAGGCGTTCGTGGGAATGGCCATATCCTCACACCAGGCATCGCTTTCTTTCTGCAGGAGTCGTGTGGCAGTCAGCGAATGGAGCGGAAGAACACCGACTGATGGAAAAAGAGGATACATATTCAGATGTGACAGAGAAGTTTGAATATTTGGATGCACCAAGGAAGGAGGAGGGAAAACACCCCCCTAAAGGGAGGAACAATTCTGGTCTTTTACAGGGGGATGAGTCTCTACAGCAAAATACATGTCAAGGAGACAACAGGGAGGAGTGCACTGACATATCAGTTACTAATATTCACCAAAGGAGGTGTAACAGAAAGAAAATATATAAATGCCGGGAATGTGGAAAAAGTTTCAGGCAGAGAGTGCACCTTACTTCCCACCTAAGAATTCACACAGGGGAGAAACCATACAAATGCCTGGAATGTGGAAAAGGTTTTGGAAGAAAAGATACTCTCATCGCCCATCAAAGAATTCACACAGGGGAGAAACCTTACAAATGCTTGGAGTGTGGGAAAAGCTTTGGTTACAGTACAAGTCTTGCTTCCCATCGAAGAATTCACACAGGTGAAAAACCATACAAATGCCTGGAGTGTGGGAAAAGCTTCCATCAAAGTGGAAACCTTACTTCCCATCGAATAATTCACACAAGGGAGAAATCATACAAATGCCTGGAATGTGGGAAAAGCTTCAGTCGGAGAAACACTCTTATCTCCCATCAAAGTATCTCCCATCAAAGAACTCACACGAGAGAACCTTATAAATGCCTGGAGTGTGGAAAAAGTTTTGGAAGAAAAGATACTCTCAGATCCCATCAAAGAATTCACACTGGGGAGAAACCTTACAAATGCTTGGAGTGTGGGAAAAGCTTTGGTTACAGTACATGTCTTGCTTCCCATCGAAGAATTCACACAGGTGAGAAACCATACAAATGCCTGGAGTGTGGGAAAAGCTTCCATCAAAGTGGAATCCTTACTTCCCATCAAATAATTCACACAAGGGAGAAACCATACAAATGCCTGGAATGTGGGAAAAGCTTTGGTTACAGTACAAGTCTTGCTTCCCATCGAAGAATTCACACAGGTGAGAAACCATACAAATGCATGGAGTGTGGGAAAAGCTTCCATCAAAGTGGAAACCTTACTTCCCATCAAAGAATTCACACAAGGGAGAAACCATACAAATGCCTGGAATGTGGGAAAAGCTTTGGTTACAGTACAAGTCTTGCTTCCCATCGAAGAATTCACACAGGTGAGAAACCATACAAATGCATGGAGTGTGGGAAAAGCTTCCATCAAAGTGGAAACCTTACTTCCCATCAAAGAATTCACACAAGGGAGAAACCATACAAATGCCTGGAATGTGGGAAAAGCTTTGGTTACAGTACAAGTCTTGCTTCCCATCGAAGAATTCACACAGGTGAGAAACCATACAAATGCCTGGAGTGTGGGAAAAGCTTCCGTCAAAGTGGAAAACTTACTTCCCATCAAAGAATTCACTCGGGAGAAACCATATAAATTCCTGAACTGTGGAAAAAGCTTCAGCTGCAGCTCACACCTCAATGTCCATCAGGAAATTCATACAGGGGGGAAACTAGAGAAATGTCTAGAGTGTGGAAAAAGCTTCAGTCACAGTGGAAGCCTTACTTCCCATCAAGGAATTTACATAGAAATGACCAGAGTGTGGGAAAAGCTTCAGTCAGTTTACACCTTGGTGTCTGTCAGAAAATTCACACAGGGGAGAAGTCATATAAATGCCTGGAGTGTGGGAAAATGACCATCAAAATGTTCACAGAGTGGAGAAACCATACAAAGGTATGGAGTGTAGGATAATCTGTGGTCACAGTAACGTTCTTTCTTCCCATAGAAGAAGTCAGACAGGGGAGAAACCAGGGGAGAGGAAATTCATGATTTTAATTGTATTTATGAATGCTTATGCGTTATGCGGTTTCATAACCTCTGTAAAGTTCAATTCTTGGTCAGGAAAAGTAGTAAAAATTCATAACCACCTCTCAACCTTGACAGTTCCTTGGTATAACTGACGAAATAGGAGATTTATTACTCAGGAATTGCAAACTGCTGTCTTGAGTCTTATAACCTTGCTTTGAGAATTTAATCAGATACCAAGATGTACTCTAGTCCATGTAGTATAGTAGCTCTTTTTTTTTATTTTCTGAAAACTACAAGAAAAAACAGGATGGGGAAGCTACAAACTATGGGAGAAAGTAAAGCATAACCACTAAAAATCCAAGGGGTGGAAGTACTACAATTGATACATTATAATTGCTTCTACTATATAAAATTAAATTGTTACATGAAGTGATCAATAAAAAAACGCTTATATATTTCAAATCCAGATAATCTGACTTTGTAAGGTTCAACACAAAAGTCAATTGTAAAGTTAAAGGCAAACGTCAGAGAGAATCAGCATCTCATTTTTTATATAATTTTCCCCTCAATTGATATCCTTGCTTAGGGGCCGTTGCTGCAAGTTCCGAGTCCAAGCCTTCTTCAGTACGTGATTCGTCATCAGTTCCTTTATCCTCATCGTCTTCTCCCGCTGGTCCCAGTTGTTGCCGTAAGAACTCTCGGTCTTTCATAATGGAGTCATTTTTTTCCTTCTTGTCTTTATATTTGAAGAGTAATCCTTCAGGTTAAATCCATTTGTAAGAGATGTTATTCTTTTGTAAAAACAACACCAAGTCTCTATTTATTCCTCTTTTTCCTTATTTCAAAGGGCTCTTTAGCTTGGAGAAACGACTGAGGGGTGACATGATCGAGGTTTATAAGATTATGCATGGGAAAGAGCAGGTAGAGAAAGGCACTTTTCTCCCTGTCTCACAATACAAGAACTCGTGGGCACTCCATGAAACTGCTGAGCGGTCGGGTTAGAATGGATAAAAGGAAGTACTTCACCCAAAGAGTGATTAACACATGGAATTCACTGCCACAGGAAGTGGTGGCGGCTACAAGCATGGACGGCTTCAAAAGGGAATTAGATAAGCATATGGAGCAGAGGTCCATCAGTGGCTATAGATAGGGGCTCTGGGGCAAGTGATGCTCTGTCTTCTTGGTGCTTGGAGGGGGTCAACAGTGGGAGGGCTTCTAATGTCCTGGCCCCACTGGTGGACCTCCTGATGGCACTGGTATTTTTGGTGTCACACAGTGGCCAGAAATACCAGGTGCCATCAGGAGGTCCAGTAGTGGGGGCTTCTGATGGACTTCTGCCTTAGCATGGCATCTGTCTGGCACTTCATGTGGCTTGGGAGCTGGTCCATTTCACAGCAGGTAAGAGGGTAGCTAACCTCAGGTGCCGTAGGCACGTCATCTCACAGGAAGGCTTCCTTCCTCTGGGTGTGTGTCTGTGACTGGCATCTGTTTGGGTTACCAAATAGTTCAGTCCCTTTTGCACACTGCTTGCACAGTCCAGGTTTTTATCATTTACGAGACTTTGCAGGGCAACAGCACTTAGCCACTACACCAAAGTGGCTCTGGACAGTCAACATCTGGCTCTCAGACAGAGTTCATTCCACCCTGCTCACAGAACACTTTGAATTTCTGGTAAGGACAGAAAGGAATACAATCCTCCTGCACTTTCTCAGCAGAGATACTAGATTTGGCACAGCATAACCATGACTCAGCCTGCCTAACGATTGGGGAGGCACTCATTAATAGATCTTGGGTAAAGGTGAGAGAAAGGAAACACACACCATAAAATATAGAAAACCAATGCAATCGATCTATGTCATGCTCAGTAACGAAAAGTATGTAAGGATAATGCCACAAGCACGATCAATCCTTTGTAACTCCTGTACCATTGAATGTGCCTCCACCGGCTCCTGTGCACGGAGGAAGAGTCCACGCTCATGCTCCCTCATTGCATGGAGGTAGGGTTGCCAGCCTCCAGGTGGGGCCTGGGGAAGCTGACAGATGACTGCTTTGAAGGGGGACTCGATGTGGCGCTGGACCCTGCCGAGGCCCCTCCCCTCCCCAAACCCTGCACTCTCCTGGATCCAAAAGAACCTCCTCAGGAAAGCTCCTCCATTAGCATGTTCACAGCCTGGGGAACTCCTACACGATAATGACTCAGCCCTATCCCACCTTCCTGAGTAGATATAAACTATCTGCCTACCGTTTTTCTTCTCACCTTGATACAGAGAGCACTCCATCTTTCTGTGTTATACCTCTGAGGATGCCCGTCACAGCTACTGGCGAAAGGTCAGGATGTACAATGCCAAGACGACGGCCAGACAACCCAGAAGATCTACAGCAGCCAATGAACCCCAGCCTGAAAGCCTTCCACAACATACACTTATTTCTATCCCCGTGTTGATGATATGCCATGAGCACATCGTGTATTTGTGGTGGGTTGTGGACCACCAACTCCTTATGGACGTATTTGCAATTTAAACATTTACTTAATATATCTTATACTCCGACATTTCAAGTGCATTTAATCTCGGATGGTCTTCCCACCCGCGTTTTTCCTGCGGTTTTCTACCACAGCCCAGCAGCAGCTGCAGTCCCCCCCGGCCCTTTCCTTTTAGGAAACGAGCCCGGCCTCGATCGCTCCGCAGCCTTAGCGAGGCGCCTGGTAGGGGAGGGGCCTGCGGGAGGGGCGGAGCCATCTCGTTCCCCGCCCCTTGCCAAGAGGCGCGGGCTTCGGCTCGAAGGGCTCGGAGGGACTTGGGTGAGCGCCAAGAGGGGTTTTTTTTTGGGGGGGGGGAAAGGGTATGGGGGCCGCAGTGCAAGACCCAAAGGAGAGCGCAAGGAGCCGGAGGGGTGATGTAGCAGGGGGGGGGAGAGAGAGCAC